AAAAAAAAACACGGAGGTATTGTTAGAAAACCTTATCAAAAACGATATACTGAACTTTGCCGGGCTTTTTTATTTCTGTTTGTTTCTTGACTTTGTTTTGTTTTGTTTTGTTTTTTTGTTTTTTGTTTTTTGTTTTTAGTTTTTTGCAATATCTTTTCTAAGCGCCTTATTCTGATCCTGCAAATCTGATCTTATTATTTTATCGAAAACAGATTGATAACTTGAAGGGGATAATCTTGGACACCAACTGCCTTTGTTAAACTGAACATACCCGACAAACTTAAGCTCGGGTGTGAATATAAATGCCTCATTAAATCACCTTTGGTTATTTCTATCAAGATTTCAATACATCTACGTTCTTGTTCAGTTCTCACGTAAGATTTACCCACGGGCTGAATGTAAAATACTTTGTTTTGTTTATAGAAAACAAGTAAGTAAGTTTTGAATTGTTATTGTAGTTACGATAAATTTCGCTTGTCATTAGGAAAAGGACTTATCTTGTGAAGATAGCAATGTGGACAGTCAGCTTAGCGCAGATGTCACTTGCACATTTTGCAAGGACGACATGACACCAGTGACGCTGGCTTTGAAGGTGAGCCAAATATTGATTGCTGTATTTTGTGGCACAAGCTGGGAGAGTTTTGCCTATGAGTCTATATTTCCCTGTGGACATCGTGCACTTGTGTTTGCTCCTCACGCAATTTCCCTACCTCATCCCCTTCGGCCACCGGGAAGAATGAATGAGGGACGTGACAGTAGAAAGCCTGTGTTGAGAAGAAACTTTCAAGTATAAGGGTCGTTTAAGCGTTCAAGGAAACCGGAATTCGTCTCTTGCAAACATAATTTGCCATATTCAAATTCTTCTCTAAACTGCGCGAATTTAGCTTTTTCCAGGAATGATGCCAATTGAGACCCCTCGCATATTTTACGCCAAAATCACCACCGAGGTCCTGAACGTCTTTTCGACAAGATAGGGAACACATCAAAATTAAATTAGGGCGACCAGCATGAGAGCGACAACCGCTGACCAATGTCTGGGATCGCAGCCTCGGCTGGCCATATTTTTCCTTTGAAGTACCGGTGTCAGAACAACGCGAGAAAAAAGCTTCAACTTTAGGGGTATTTGTTTTTCTTTTCCGTTAAAAGTAAAGCATTGAGAAAGCATTGAGCAATTAAAGAAGCATTAAAGCATTAAGAAGCATTGAGAAGCATGACAGAAATATTTTCAAATACTTAATTGATTGAAACCCCCCGGCATTTCTCTACAATTGTGCAACAATGAGTCCCACTTCAAATTTGTCAAGCCTTGGTTAACTCAATATCCACACAACTTAAAAAACCTCATCGGAAATTGAAAACACTTGGAATCGACTAAAATTACGTTGAATATCGGCCTTGTTTCCGCCTCGCCGTCGTTGTTTGGACGAGCTGCGAGGGTAAATTAAGCTATTCACATTAGTAAGTGAATGTTTATGTCGCCTGCTACATTCCTTGGCGTCATTTTGTATTAAAACATTTTTTGGTGTGGCCAATCGTCTCAATGGCATATTTCTAAAATGGGCGGGAAACTATTGTTTCACAGACAAACAATCTCGGAAATGAATCTCACAAATATAGCAGCGAAACACAAAGGAAGGATATTAAAATGCGAGTGCCATACTGTAATTTATTCAATACTGTTTTCATGCTTCTGCACAAAAGATCACATCTGGATCATTTTTAGAATTTCTCTGTAAAAGCCGCCTTACTCGAGTTTTGAGCGTATCTTGAGAAGTGAAAGAAAACTCGTCTAAATCAAAGGTAGGTTCAACATTACTGGGTTTGTAAGAGCGATAAAATATTGTTTCATAATGTTGACTATATGTTCTTCAGCCGCGAAAATTGCCGAAAATTCTTTGCAATTTCTGTAGAACTCGAAACGCTTGAGGAATGTTAAGTCCAGAGACAGGCGGAAAGCCCGAAATCATAGATTTTGAACTATCAATCAAGTTAATGATTTGTAATTTATGAAGTACGATTTTGTAGAAACAAGCGAAGGAGACACTTGTCAGTTTTGTATCGCGAACTTGATTTTATATTTTTCCTTCGCAGTGATTGTACAACCATGTTTATATGAAGCCGCGTGTATTCACCACTTGTCGAAAATTTTAATCACGTTCAACACAGCCGTTTCCTTGTCTCGTGTAACGTCAATTTATTCACAAATCTCAACATGTGTTTTTGTGTACAGTTCGGCAAACATGAGGCGAATTTGAAGTAGTCACGAACATTGAATCTTCAATAACCATAAACACACATATAATAAGGTAAACAGTGCCACCGGCACTGCTAGTAAAATGACTGAATGTTTGAGTCCTGTGAAGCTTAAAAGAATTCTCTGAATAGCGGTCTTGAAGTCCCGAACTCGCGATCGAAGGCAAGGCTTGGGAATCACACGATCGCGTGAGGTAAATCTAAAGGTCAATTGATGCGGTAATTATCTCTCGATGGAGTTAGCGCGCGCGCGCTTCGAGTTTGTCATAGCCTTAAGCCGTATGAGCTGTTGAAGGATATGGCAGTGAAATCTCATTTGTTGAAGATCTAACCACAGCGTATTTCCTTTCACATTCTTTCAATACATCGTATTGGCTCTTGCCCAGACGAAAATAACCCAGTGAAAACATTTCGTTTGGTCGGCAACATTTTGAGCTCAAGTTGGGAGTTTCAACTTTGTTAGAATGGATGGCGCTGCGAGTTTCTCACTCCAGTGTTCGTATTTTTCACCCAAACAGAATCACTTGGACGTGTGTCCTCTTTTCCCGGTCAAATGTCCTAACATGTGTGGCAAGATGGAGGTTCCTCGAGAAAAGGTAGAGTATAAAACTCAAAACTGAAAAATTATCATGAATAGCAATGGTTATAGCAGTATGTACAAAATTTCCTAGATTACGATCGGATGCCTCTTCCGTTCAAGTGGTACATTTTATAGTACAAGTAATATTTACTTCAAGTGAATCGCGCGTCGCGTTTGTGATGAATGTAAATGTTTAATTCAAATCTTCAAAGTATTTGATGTGGTCTTTCAATATTTTTAAATACTTTGACGACAGTCCGCGTTCTCAGTCAAGTTTATCGGTTGTTTTCATTTTAAAATATCTTTGCGGAACTACGAGTCTTAAATATTTGTTACATGCAAAAAATAAAATTCAATGATAAGTAGCATCTTATCGACATATCATTCGCTTGAGAGGTTATCTGCTATGAAACATCTTAATTTATTTCTCAAATGACGATATTACCTTCTCAAGCGATAAGCAACAGCATAATTATTTCCAGAAAGCTAAAATTCTGAGAAACGCTATGTTTCAGTTCACTGGATTGAAAGTCGAGAAACTGGGAGATGTTATAAATCTCGAATTATTTTATGGCCGGCTGGCAATTATGCCATGTTTTCCAGGCATCAGTACAAACTTACACGCTGTGAATTTTATTGTATAAGGACTTCAAATTGTGCCACTTTCTCGAACTTTACCACTACTCTAGTCAGTTTAGCTTCTCCTTTAATATAATTTTTTTCTTTTTTGAAAAGTAGTCTATTAAAGGGGTTGACTTAAAGAATCACTGGGCCTTTGGAAATTTTTGTGACAATGTGTTCAATCAAAAGCGTGCTGTAATAAAACGTGTTTTGAGATTTAACCCTGACTTTAATAGGCCTCGTCCACACCTGACTACGCCGGAAAAATTTGAAAACGCAGCTTTATTTCTACGGTTAGGCCCACCGTCCACTCTAATCCGTCACGAAAACGGCGCTTTTCGAAAACGCTCTTCAAACCGGCGTAGTGTGGACGGAAAACATTTGGTGCGGTTTCAGGGTGAAAAGGCTGTTTTCAAATTTCTCTAACGTAGTGTAGACGGGGCCCTTTTCCCTTAATTACGCTGGCATTGACGTTACATGAAAATTTGTACTTTGCTTTTACTTATTACATAATCCAGTTTGTTGCATGTAGACAAATACATTCGTATTGTTTGATTTCTCGACAATGTGACCTGTGAGGTTCTCTTCGGGCATTTCCGGCGAATTCAAAGCCGACGACATTTGCCGATGTTTGTACAAGAGAGATTGAATGCATTTAAGTGGCTTATCAATTTTTTTCAAATGAAGAACGCAAATACTAACAAGCGAATGCAACCAAATGTGACTAAATGTCAAACTCAGTGCGGTACGATTTTTGGATTACTATAAACCAAAACACGAAGCCATAGGTCCGCATAGCATGCACGTATGCTTTGTCAAAGGAAGCATTCATCCTGTTTGCATCTATGTGTTATTGGCAGCGACAGCAAAAGATTAACAAATCCTTAATTAAACGAACTTAGACCTAATGAAAGCAAAGACGCCGACAGAGTGCATCAGTTTCGAGAAATAATGAGATAAGCCACTCCGACGGATATCACCTTTTCCGGCTTTTAAAGAAATAAAATAGCAAAACTCTGAGATTTGTGATGAATGTACTCAGATGTTTCTATTGTAAAGTGTGTTTACTTTTCAATGTTCATTATTATAGATCACGCAAGACAAAGCAAAACATAAAAGGTCAAAAATGTATGGGAAACTGTGGCTATTTGAAATATTTGTTGACAGATTGCATCGACTGTCTAAAATGCATATACATAGTTACTCAAAACGTAGCCCAAAGGTAACGAGAGAGTTGTCTCGACCTTCAGGAAAGCACTTTGCACGGCTGTGATTTTTAGCTGCAGGCTACACGTATTTTACCGCCCACGGAAAATCTCGGTAAAATGAGAATCCTGTTTTCACCTTTTGATTGTTTTCTTGATAAGCAATCGCTTCTCTGTCTTCTTTGTCTAAATGTATCTTGCTGCCTTTTTAAGAGATTATAAATTATAACAAATGTTGCTTTATTGTTCTGAATTTTGCAGCTCACGGATCACATTATGGAAGAGTGCCCGAACACATGTGAACATTGTGTTTATCAAGACATTGGATGCGCTTTTCAGGTAACTTGACTGTTTTGATTTGAACTCGAGTTTCAAGTTTAGCAACTTTGGTTTCTTTTCACGCTGTTTCAGTTGCAAATTGGCTCTTGTTTATACTGGAGACGCAAAATCCACCCAGACGAGCTAGCCGTCTGCAGCTTGATGGGTCTCCAGTTTTATGTGTCTGGTGTAATATAAGGAAAATGTCAGTTTCGAGGCCCTTTTAGGTAAAAAATTAACGGGATACGGGATATATGAAATAAATTACAATGTTTAGAGAGGGAGCCACATCAGCCTTGGCTGGTTTTTACTAGCGGGTCCTCTATCCTGGTCGAATTGGAATTTGGAGATGTTGATTTTTGCGGGGGAAGGAAAATCCGGAGGGAGCCCGGAGAAACACCCTCGGAGCAAGGCGAGAACCAACAACAAACTCATCCCGCGTATGGCACCGAGCTGGCATCGAACCCGGGCCACATTGGTGGGAGGCGAGCGCTCTCACCACTGCGCCATCCTGCTCGCCCAAAAACGAAAAAAATCAACGGGAAAAGGGATATTTAGAACAGAGTTTCCGGGATATCGAACAAGAAAAATGTTACGTTTTGAAATTGAAATTTACGGGATACGGAATATTTAGACGAGACATTAACGGGATTTGGGACACTCAGACGCCCAACCAATTTGGCCTCAGTTTTATCCTTATGTCGTTGTGTTTATGCTGTTATATTATTGATATGTCATTGTTTCAGCATGATCACACTGTAGATTACCTCAACATAACGACATAACTCCCTTCTTGTGTCGATATGTCGTTAGGTCGCGTACTTTACACACTTAATTATGCACCTTTTTTTTTTCTTGACGTATAATCGTCTTGTGCTGAGACACACTAACAGACGCACTGAAAGAACTTGCCCCAGTTCGTCCAGACGGTTAATGAGTCTCTAATAAGTTAATTAATTCTTTATTTAATTTTCAAGTCTCTCTTCAAACGAAGACGCTCTACAAATCTTTTTGAAGTGAAAATCCTAACTAGCAAATGCCGGAGGTCTCGAAGAGTATGCGTCATAGGAGAAACTCGCTTTCGACTCGCTTTCCATTTAAACCGTGTGCGTATTCAGTATAAAATCCTGCAAACCGACTTGACCATGCTCGTTATGCTGCCATTGCCTCCACTGCGCAACACATTGCTTGTAAAGTTGAAGGACATTCATTTTTCTGCACTTGTCCCGGCTGCTGAAAGAATTCGCCTTTTATCTCGTGGCTCAATCGATCAATCAGAAACTTTATTTAACTTGTCGAAATTTAGCTAGCCGAGAGGAAACACCCCTCTCTCTAATTGGGGATACTTAGCCAGATAACGTTATTATGGCGTCATCCAAGAAAATCGATCAATTGTGGCTTAACGATTTAACTTAAAATCAGAGAGAACGAGTTGTCTTTTTCATCATTTAGGTGACCTGTGAAAAGTGCTTTCAAGTTGTTGTATTGTGTGAGTTGTTTAAGTCGACTCCTATAGCTGGTTTTCCCGTTTTTTAACATAACCGTTTCTTACATGACTTATGTAGGGTCCTAAAACTAACATGACGAAGCATCTGCAGGAGAACTCGGAGGAACATTTACAGCTGGCACTGGAGGTGATCAAAGAGCAACGGACCGAGATGGGAATACAGCGAGGCCGCTTGAGAAAACAGGAGGGCAACATAACTCAGCTTATGGAAAGTGTCACCAAGTTGACGGCACTGTGCGAGGAAACACTCAAAAGTAACGCGGAACAGGAGAAAACCATCAATCGCTTGTCTGAACAGCTGAAAGAACAGAAGAAACATCAATCAAAACACGAGAAGGAACTGAGGCAAAGAATTGTCGAGCTGGAGAAACGAGGACCAGAAATGCCCCAAAACGGTCTCGTTCGTTACCCGGGGCTGAATGGTTACGGAGAACTTGTCTGGCGAATTTCTAGCTTTTCCCGAAGATTGCAGCGTGTTCAATCGGGTCGGGCCGACGACCCAATGACCAGTGAACCGTTCTACACCTCGGCATTCGGCTACAAGATCGTAGTCTGGGCTTACCTAAATGGGAGAGGCAAAGAAACTGGGACCTGCTTGTCATTATACGCATGTGTCATGTCTGGGGAGTATGACGCAGTTCTTCAATGGCCAATCAAACCACGCTACACGTTCAGCTTGCTGGATCAAAACCCGGACTCTGAAGCGAGGAAGGATTTAACGCGCATGCGCAAAGTTCACGACTTTAAACGCGATGACGTCAGAAGGAAGGGAATCGACAGGCCCGGTCGAGATGAGAGAGCCATCATTGTTGGATTTGATGATTTTATTAAACATGAAGAACTTGAAGCTGGTAACTTTCTTGCCGAAGACTCTCTATTCATCCGAATTCTTGTAGACATGCCTGAATCATAGAAATGAATTCTTCACTTGTCTCGGGATGCATATTTTCCATTTAGAGCCACGTCTGGCATCCAACTTAATACAATTGAGGCACCGTCCCCAACACGCCGGAGGAATTTGAAAACGAAGGTTTCACTCTGAAAACGCATCAAATGTTTTCCGTCCACACTACGTCGGAGGATTTTTTTAAACGCAACAATCACCGGTCATTTTGGATTTGTGTTTGAGGAAAACTCGAGCAGGAAAACCACATGATTATCGTGATTCGTATTTAAAAAGATTTCTTAAAACAGAAAACGATAAAATCAGGCGTTTCGGAGTAGTCATGACTCCATTATCAAGGAAAAATATATGTTAGATCATGCAAATTACAGCATTTAAAGCGATTTTGGCGCGAAGAATTAACATAAAAGGGTGCGAGGATTATTAAAATACTTTCGCACGTGATGTCATCGTTTTTTAAAAGTTCCGTTGTCAAAAAGTTTTCCGTCCACACGAAAACGAAAAGACGGCGTTTTCAAATTCCTCCGGTTTGAAGAGCGTTTTCTTGAAGCGCTGTTTTCGTGACGGATTAGTGTGAACAGTAGGCTTAACCGCAGAATAAAGCTGTGTTTTCAAATTTCTCAGGGGTAGTGAACGCTGCCTGAGGGAACACAAAGGAAGCACAAAGTGGACGGTGAAGTGAGAATAGTTGATGTCCATTGTGGTTTGCTTTGACGAGTATTAAATACAAACAGCTGCACTCAGTACAGCAATGTCAAGGCGGCTTGTGTGTGTGTGTCCTAACAATCTGGCCATTTTGCTTAAAATCAATAAAAACGCAATTTTTGGGGGAACACCAGTTATGACTGCTGAGACATCAAGTGAAACGTTTTCTTCATTCCACGGAGAGAAATACCAGTGATTTGGGCCGAACATTCTATACCGATTCCGAAGAGCGTTTTAACTCACTTGGCCAGCAACCATGCAAACTTACTGGAACAAAAGAAATTGTATACATAAGAAAAGAGTTCCACTCCTACAGGATTGGTTTGGTACACCAACATGACCGTCGTTTCATTGTTTTGGAACACCAATATGACTGCCGTGAAGTCATGTGAAAACGCTCTATACCGATAAAGTCATTCAACAGAGATCCGTGCAGTATTTCTCATTGACCGTGGCTTCAATGGGCGACAAAAGTAGTTGAGACTTTGATATTTAAGCCTTATTCTATTTTATTTGCTTCTAGCGTTAATTCTCTGATACCCCCGGTCCCCCAATTCAATGTTGTTTAGCCGCTGTAGTCTGTGCAGTCTAAGAAATAGAAAAATCAACATTGTTTGGGGGGGAAGGGGAGGAAATGTTTCCAAGACGCTCGAAAATCGAATTTTACTGCCTCTGAAAAGAGATAAAGATTTCGCGCGCTACGCACGCTCCCACTTGCTGTAACATCTCTACGGGAGAATCTTTAGTGATATCATAGAAATGATATCATAGAAATGTGAAACTTAGAAATAGGCGAAATTGTTAGCTGTGTGGGCGTCATATCGAAGGAGAAAGTTGCTTTCAACAACTTCAAACATTTCCAGGTGGTTAAAGCCCTAATAAGCCCTTGCGTTTTTTGTAAAATTTTGAGTTTTAAATATGCGTCACAATTTCGTCTGGCGTCCAGTTTTATACAATTTTAAGGGGACGAATACGTAACGCTAAACGAAAGGATGGAGGAAGACTGGAAAGAGAAATTAAGAGAAATGGATCTTCTGTAAACAGTGGCAATTTTGATGCCACTGAACGGAGATTTTAGTCAGATATCGAGCTAAACAGAAGAAAAATGAATTTAAAGCCCATTGTCGAGACAACGCAACGGAAAGAGAATAATTAAGGTCAAGTGACTCCGATCGAGAAAAACATTCTTTTTTTTGTTCTTCATTTACCCTGCCAATATCAGTGTTTTTCCTCCTCTTCCATTCACTTCCTCACGGCTTCTTCGTCTCCGGCTCAGCCCATCCGTTGCGCGGTGTGACAAAGCGTAGAGGATGGCGGGAACATGTTTTTCACCTCAGGAGTATAAAACCGGTATAATAGCTGTAAATTGAGCATCAAAGTTCCTGCAAACATTTACGCCTCTTGGTAAATACCAGTGGCGGATCCAGACCTTGAGCTGAGGGGGAAGGGGTGGGGTGGGGGTTTTTTGCTTGCCCTGCCGGCTTTTCTTCCTACCGCAATTTTTTTTTTAACCAAAACAAAGGGGGAGGGGCCCGGGGTCCCCGGGCCCCTCCCCTAGATCTGCCACTTTTATACAAGTATCTCGCTATTTCATCGCATGTCCAAGGCTTTCCAAGTTTTACCGGGTCCAGTCACCTGTTTCACGCTCGCTAACAACAGTGCGACAAAGAGGGGGGTAGAGGTGGGGGGGGGGGGGNGGATGGAGGAAGACTGGAAAGAGAAATTAACTTGGGAAATGGATCTTCTGTAAACAGTGGCAATTTTGATGCCACTGAACGGAGATTTTAGTCAGATATCGAGCTAAAGAGAAGAAAAATGAATTTAAAGCCCACGGGCATTGTCGAGACAACGCAACGGAAAGAGAATAATTAAGATCAAGTGACTCCGATCGAGAAAAACATTTTTTTGTTTGTTCTTCATTTACCCTGCCAATATCAGTGTTTTTTTCCTCCTCTTTTAAAAACTATAATCCAAAAACTTTTTTTAAAGGCTCGGTCTTTGGTTTTCTTATTAAAGTAAGGCCCTTGACAGAAAACGCCAGAACGACGTCAACTGGAAATCTAATGTAATTACGAGCCAGACGAGACTCATTACTAGCTGACGTGATTTAGTCAGTGACAGCTCCTCACAAAAAGGCGTGAAAGGAAATTAAAAGAATGTGAAGACCTCATTGTTGCCTGTTTGAAAGAACTTTATTTAGTGCACTATAAGTTCAAATGTTGCTGGTGCAAAGCCTTCTATTTGCCGTTTACGGGACTTCGACAAAAAATGGCGCGAAAAGACGGAAAGCCCGTGCAGCAACGTGGGACGAGAGAAAACCAGGCGCGGTTTTCAAATAGTTTCATTCTCCGATAAACAAGCCGAAGAGCTCGAAACATTCTCTCAGGGAAGCTCATCGTTTTCGTTCTTTGCTAACTTGTTTTACGACGGAATGAACCGCAACAACAATTACATGGAATTGCTGAAACCAACTGAAACAAGCTGGTGAATGTAATCAATGTTGTGTTAGAAAATGTTGCAATAAAATGTTTGCCCGGTGTACACTCAGCAACTGAAACACGTGGTTTCAATTCATGCCGAGGAAAAATCATTTTTCCCCTCCTGAGAGCACTCTATCGGCAAAGCTTTTCCTTGGTGGTTTGTATGGGCGAAAATATTTTGCTTCGTTCTGGCTGAGACGAGAACAGATACTTTCAAAAACGCACGAGTAGCAATTAGTGTGGCCGGTGCCTACCATACCTTGAACTTCGCTACGACTGCAAAGCAAAGGAAGGAGCGAAGGAAGGATCTAGTGAATCTCCCATCCATACCAGCTTATACCTGCAACTTACAAATATGATGGAAACACAAAAGGAACGCATGGGTGAACGCAAAACGAACGCGCGGGTGAACGCAAAAGAAACGCATGAGTGCACGTAAGGGGAGTAGATCGGCGAACTATGGGGAAACACAAAGGGAATCGAATGGAAACAAAGGAACTCGAAATAGTATTCTCGGGTTGCACTGTCACACAATAAAAAAATAATTCGAAAACCATTCAGTGGATAAAGTCAAGAAATTATGATATAAAGAAGACATTTATCCAAGTCTTAGGCCTGTACGTTTTCCCAAACTTCAAATATTCGTCGAAATATTTTGCACAAATTTAGAGAGCCCAGTATGGAGCCCGCATGTTGGTGTGCTTCGACGGCACACCGACTTAGTGGCCGGAAAATAGTGGAAACATCTGGAACTTACTTTGGCTATCTAGGCCGCTGATTATCTGAGCTGATCAAGCAAACATTGAAGTAAGCACTTTTCCTAATACTTTAACTTCCGAAAAGATTAAAAATCACGGAACAAGTATATATTTTTCGACAAACGCGTCCATAGCTTCATGTCACCAAATGTGACTGTTTTCAGACGAAGCAAACTGTTGAGCTGAAAAGTTGTTAACAGATATAAATTTACCGCCTCTTGTGCCTGATGAAAATTATAACTTTGGTGGCTCTTTAGAAAATGATGACGTCACGTGCACTGCAAAATTGGTAATCGTATGAATGCGAGTGGAATTAAGGATTTACGCTACGAGTGATTTTTGAAAATTCTCCCAAAATTTGAACGAATTTCCAAATATCATGAGTAGTGTAAATCCTTAACTGCCCGAGCCTTCATACGATTACTCATTTATTATATGACTAACAAAATCACGAAAGCGAGAGCGTTAATTTGCACTGCAGTGCAAATTAAAAATTAACGATAAATTGGCTTGCTCTCAGCCAATCACCATGAGGTAATTTTTTCAGTTATATAATAAATAAGGAGACTAAGGGAATCGAATGGATGGGGAAGCGCAAAGGAATCGAGTGGATGTGGGAACGCAAAGGGAATCGAATGGATGGGGAAACGCAAAGGAATTGAATGGATGGGGAAACGCAAAGGAATCGATTGGATGGGGGAATGCAGATGGAATGATAGGGGAATCAGTGGAAATGTGATGAAATGTGTGATATATTACATACAGTCAGGCACTGTGCGCACAAAATTGTCTTCGAAAGGTGAATTTAATTTTTAGAAGGACGAAAATACTTAAAACCTCCTTACATACACATATATTAATTCATACTACTTTCAAGATATTGGCAGTAACAATCGCGCGTGCAAACATTTTACAAGAAAGTACAAAACTAAAGGAAAAGCCAGTCATGTAATAATTTCAATATTATGTATAAATAAATTCTACATCAATGAATTACCACTGTTTACATTTCCTGAACATTTCACAATTCATTTGAACACGCTCAAGTACATTATTTCAAGTGGAACGACACTTGCAAAGACAGCGACATTTTATGCCAATGAAATAATTCCCTCCATTTGTGTTTTCACCCATTTTTCGCTATCTAATAAAATAATTTTAATTTTTTGGTATAATTGTTTCATTCACTCACCCACTTAAGACTGGCTGAAAATAGTCCCAATCTAAAATGCCGAGACCGGATTTTTTGCCCATTCTTTTATGTACGGTATATGCTTCCGACGTCTGAACTGCGGGCTTACAGTTTCATAGAAAACAAATCTCTTAATTTGTTTCTCAAATTACTGTAGGAAAGAATAAAACCAATATCTATGGTAGCGTAATTTGCGCAATATTTTTATAATCATTTTAAATGGTATTGTGACCGTCCCATGAGGCATCGCGTGGAAAAATATGGCGCCCGCGCCATGGAATAACTTCATTCGGCACAACAACAGGTCTATGATTTCGCATTTCCACTTAGCTTACGACATGGACAAACAATGTCATTCTCCTTATAAGCCTTAATAATTCTATATTTTCCATATGTCAGTCCCCAGACAACTTGTAACTCTTGTTTTCTTTGATAAACCAGTCAAACTTGTTTTATGGAGCGTGTAATCATTGACCACCCAGGTTACCAACCCTAGTCTTGTGGAATCAAAACACAAGTTCTAGGTGCGGATGAGTTATTATGTACAATTCAATAAAAAATTCTCGTAAGATTAAAAGAATAAATCTAAACTGCAACACTTTCATTAGGGCTTCCTAGACTTGCAGCTGAACTATTTTAAAAGTTTCTCGCTTTTTAAACGCTAGATCTACAATATGCTTAACAGCAGCAGTATACTCTTGGCTGTCACGCAATGGTTCACCGTTCCGTGACAACTCAGTTAAACGGCTACAAATGACATCACATCTTCATCTATCTCGTAGATTCGCGTCATCATTAAGTCTCTCCCTTCTCTAAACAATTCAGCTCCGCTAGCACTCCTACGCTTTAAAGAGTCATTCAACGCCATTTCAATTCATAGCGTTTAATAGTCACTACCTGCGTAAATGAAAATGTCGACGAGACCAGTACATTTCTGTTCAGTCAGGCTTCGCACAGCAACGCCAGAATCAGTGACTTACATAGTCGAGTTTTCCTCGTTGAGACAGACGCCCTAGAAGAGATACTCTAAGTAGTATGCTATGAAGTGTTTCATCTTTGTATTGCTAGCTCTCTTAACTTGGCCCTCGTGGGTCGACGCCTTTTCACTGCGGGCTGTCCCACGCGGTTCTTTGTTAAATGGCGTAAGTGAACAGGGGTAGCTACAAGAAAAAGACAAATAAAATTAATCGTGAACATTACTTTCTCTGTTGGGAGCGGTTTTCATTTGAGTGTCGAAAAGTAATTGGTTGTACATTACTACGCTACATGATTGGCGTAAAACAAAATCGCGCCACTTTTTCATCCAATCAGAAGTAAACCCAAAACCAATAACCTCTCTTTTAATGATATTGTCCCGCATCAGCCTCCATTGCAAGCTACAATGGGCGACAAAAGTGTTCAGACACTTGGCAGTAAAATTCGATTTTCGAGCGTCTTGGACACATTTTCCCCCTTCTTCCCCCCACTGCCAAACAATGTTGAATTTTCTATTTCTTGGACTGCACAGACTACAGCGCCTACACAACATTGAATTG